ATTGACGACCACCAGAAAGTAGCGCTCCCTCTTAGGTCCCTGCGTAGGGGCAGGGCCCCGGACGTCCAATTGGAGAGTCTGGAAGGGAGGAGTGGCCGGACGAAGGGAGGAGGAGTGCGGAGTGGCGCGCAGGCGGCCGACGACGCAAGGAGTGCACGGCGGTGCAGGAGAGGGGGGGAGCGACGCAAAGAAGCGAGGGAGACCCGAGACAAGACGGTGACTAGCCATGCTGCGGAGGCGGGGGATCGACGGGTGGTCAAGACGGTGGTGCCACAAGACGATCGGGTGGGCGACAGGCCGACAGGAACAAGACGCAGCAACCTGACTATATGAACCAACCTGACTAGACACAGCAACTTGACCGGATACATCGACCTGAGGGGACGCAGCGACCTGAGTGGACGTAGCTACCCGGGAGTGCTTGGTGTGAAGGACGTAGAGACCGGAGCGGGGCTCCCTGGTGAACGTGGCCAGAACAGCACTGGCGGCAGCGTCTGTACAGACCGCAGTCCTCCCACCCCCCATAAAGGTAGCGGTGATCCCTCTGTCCTGGAGGTATCCAACACCCACCAAGTTCCGAGTGAACGAGGGGATGTGGAGACCGCGCAGGACACCAGAGGGGACCACATGGCACGAGAGGGTGGTGGAGCTGCGCGCAATGGCTGGTCCTGAGGAAGGATAAGCCAGAGCTACGGGAACAGGAGCAAGGAGCGGTGTGAGCGTTGTGTGGTCGCGGAAGAAGCACTGAGACGCGCCAAAGTCCAGCGTGAAGGACTGGGACGCCTCAGCCGGAGGCGCACCTGGTCTGGTAGCTACACAAGCACCTAGAGCAGCAACACAAGCACCTAGATCCTAGCAACAGGCAAGGATCCTAGTCTAGGAACACGCGAGCACACAAATCCATCAGCACTATAGTCAACATCAACATACAAAACATACTGACGAGCCTCATCCTTTGTCGGATCAAACACAGCAATCTTACGAGCTAGCAGCTGAGCTTAGCGCGGAGTGCGCGCCTCAGTACCGTAACGGGCACGGTAGAGGTCGTCAAGGCGGCGGAAGCACCGCGCTGCAGAGTGGTCGTCGCGGCCGCAGACGCATGGACTGCCTGGTCCGGTGAGGCACCAGTGGTCGCAGGGGCCGGAGCCGCGCTGAGGGGGGCGAGGGCCCCAACTGGTGGTACTGCTGCTGCGGTCAATGCTCCCTGGGCCTCCAGGTCCCCACTGTGGCGGGGGAGGCCAGTGCTGCTCAGGACCCCACTGCAGTGGGGGCCCCCACGGCTGACCCTATTGCGGCACCTGCCGCTGCTGCTGTCCCTGCAGCTGCTGCTGTCCCTGCTGTGGCTGCTGCTGCTGTGGCTGCTGCTGCTGAGCCCCCTCACCACCGCCAGGCGCCACACCTCCAGCTGGTGGGCCCGCCGGTCCAGAACCTCCTCCAGAGCTTCCTCCTCCAGGCGCACCAGAACCGCCGCCGCTACCACCGCCCCTCCCAGTACCGCCTCCACCACTGCCACCTCCGCCACCGCCGCCACCCCCTTTCCCCCCTTTCTTGCCACCCTTGCCTCGTTTCTGCCAGTCAGCGGCAGAAACAGCTGCAGTCTCCTCAGAGACAGACACCGCAGCAATGGCATGAGTAGCAGTGAAGGTGGGAAGCTGAGGGATAGCACACCCCTCAAAGAGACGAGGAGCGACTGCGTCAATGGCAGAGGCAACGGAGAGGAGGTTACTCTCGATCTTCTTGAGATTGCTCTCAAGAAGATCGAGTGTAAGCTTACTAGGATGCTTCTAAGAAGCGCGTCACAGGCAGTGGAGAGGCTGCAATGAAGGCGGGTTACTATCCAGTGCATGGTGAGCCACATAGGAGGGGGGGCAAGGAGAAGCTGAGCCTCAGTGCAGGCTGCACGGTAGCTAGCCTCGAGGGAACGCAGGTGAGTGGTGAGGTCGGAGACAGTGGCAAACGAGGCAAGGTCGGAAAACACAAACGGCATGAGGAGGCGGCTGAGGGAGGTAGAGGAAGGGGTGGAATAACGCGCAAAAATAGCATCATAACACCCCTTCGCAGTCTCCACCTGGGAGAAGTGGGCGGCCTCAATCGGTGGGAGAAGGTCCGTCAGCGCAAGAGCAACCGCAACGTCACGAGAGTCCCACACGTCCCGCGCCAAGAACAGTCGTTCGAAGTCCGCCTGGTCTGCGGCAGTGGGAGCGGGCTTAATAGGCAGGGGGTCGGGACGCCGGGGGGCCTGGAGGAGGCCGAACGCGTGAGCGTACAGGGTGGCACCGTCCTGACGCTGGCTGGTGAGGTGGCGCTGAGCCTGGCGGAGCCAGGTACTAAACTCGATTGCGTGGCCTTCCGCATCGAAACGAAGGCGGCGGGAGGACTCCATAGTGGAAGCTAGGCTACGAGCAGCTAGAGCACGGAGCAAACGGAGCTAGGAGCGAGGAGCAAGAACTGCGAGGAGCGCCAGGTGGGACTAGGCGAGCTACTGCCGGAGCACAGAGCGAACGGAGCTAGGAGCGAGGAGCGAGAACAGCTAGGAGCGCCAGGTGAAACTAGGCGAGGCACTGCCGGAGCACGGAGGAAAACTGAGCTAGGAACGCCAGACTAGTAACGAACGGAGCTGGGAGCAAGCTAAGCTAGGAGCAGACGGCTGGAGGAGGCAGGGCTGACGAGCTGATCGAGGAGTCGGAGAGTCGTTCGAGGGGCTGGCCGAGCGAGGAGAGACCTAGCTAACAACAAACATCAGTACTAGCCTAAACAGCTAGGTGGAGCGACCTCCAGCCGCGACGGTGCGGAACACAGTGAGTAGGAGTGACGCGAGTGTCGAACCAACAAAACGGGAGGGGAAACCCGAGGAAACCCTAAACGAAGGTGTGACTCGGGGCGCCTCGGGCTACAGGCGTTCGGGGTAGGACGGGGTGTGCACGGCAGGGGTGGGTAAGGGCGCGCGGGGCGGGTGGACCAGGGGCGCGCGCGAATCGGGGGCGCTGGGCAGATTGCGAGCTAGGTGTGCGGGCGGTATGCGGGCTAGGCGCGCGGGCTACGGGCAGGGCGCACGGGCGACGCGCGGGCTAGGGGCAGGGCGTACGGGCCGCGCATGGGCGACGGGCAGGGCGCACTGGCTACGCGCAGGCTAGGGGCAGGGGGCACGGGCTACGCGCGGGCTAGGGGCAGGTCGCACGGGCGACGCGCGGGCTAGGGGCAGGGCGCACGGGCGACGCGACGGGCTGCGGCAGGGCGCGCACTGCTGGGCTGGCAAGGGCACGCGGCGGGCTGGGGTAGGGCGCGCGCTAGGCTAGGGCGCGTGCTGGGCGCAGGCTGAGCGTGGGCTCGCGCTAGGCTAGGGCGCAGGCTCTAGGGTCGCGCGGAAACGGGCTAGGAGGGAGGGCGGAACCTAGGGCGTGAGGCGCCACGGACGGAGCGAGCTAGACTAGGCGAGGCGAGAGAACGAACCTAAGGCGTGATACCATCTCAAGAAGTACGCAAAATGAATAGATGGGATACAAAGAAGAAATTTTAACAACTGTACCCCCTAGAAGGCACCTCACTACAGCCTACAAGAGTTAGGGAACATTCATGTGGGGACACATGTGTCACAACCTCACTGTACCGCTCTGTACCGAATCAAACCGCTTTGTACACCGCGGTACCTTCCCGAAAATTGGGATTGTGACACAAATGTCCCCGCAGGAATGTTCCCTTATTATAGTTTGACACAGCTATATAAACAACAAACATGCATTCCTTTTTATAAAACTTTCTAGAAATTATACCATATATTTAAGAACCGGGTCTTATAGATTCATTGCCATTCTTTCAAGTTGGATCTGACTTCACTATTTTAGCTGCTGGCTTCAAGACATCCCACCTTTTTCTCTCTCTAAATTATGTTAAGACCCAAGGGTCTTATTATATCCAAGGGGATTACGGTAGTCAGCGTTTGTATGCTGGTTTGGGTAAAAAGGATTGATTTTCATACTTCTTCAGTTCAACATTATCTACCATACAGGGAATGATGTAATGGAACAAAAGTTTAGCCAAATGAAGTATTTGGTCCTTCCGAGAAGACGGCCTTCTACCTAGGTGTACGGATATTTCCATATCGTTATCGTACTAGCGGGTCTCGCTGGCTCTCGGAGCAGCATCATTGTTGGGCTGCTCTTCCCTCGAGGCAGACCGCAACGCCGAGGTTTTGTCCCCATTTTGGAACGCAGGGCGGCTCGACATTCCCAGCGCTGGGCCCACCTCCCCAAGCCATCGAACCAGCCAACAGCAGCAGCAGCAGACCCAAGCGGTCAGCCAAGCACCTCGAGACCATCCTGCGTCTTCGTCCACTCCGGGCTTGGCGCGAGCAGCTGGCATGCCAAGCTGCGTGACTGGTGGTGAGCACACCAGAGTGCGAGCTCGAGCATAAGCATGCTGATGACTGTGCGGCAGGAGCAGCCCCAAGGTAAGCCCGCCAGCACACTTAGACCCACGGTGTCCCCCCTCCCTTTCTCTCGATGCTCCCAGATCACCCTCTTGTCACCCAGCAACTACTTCCTATGTTGCTTCCTGCAGAGCAAGCTTCCCAGTCAGAGGTGACTGGTTCACTCATGGTTTTCAGGTGAAGGCTGCATGTCAAGGGAAGCAAGAGTTAGCACGATCGTTTGCGGTTCTCGGGCTTTGGAATGGAATTTACCCTCTTTCCCTCACGGCGTGAATCTTACGGCGTGTCGTTGAAAGTTACGCCTCGTGGAAGGCACAGAGCCCATCGCCTAGGAGCAAAACCGCGCGGCTTGTACTGGCTGATTCGCCTCAGCAAGCAGATTCGCAAGAAATTCAGGGCGTTGCGCGAAGCCAGGCGACGATCGTCTGAGACGTGCCGCCGAGATTCGGAGTTGTCTCAAGACGAGAGGCGGGCTCTTCTCACAGAGAGCGCACCGTCCTCGTCAGAATCGGCCACCGCGTCAGCTTATAGCGGATCCGACGCCAACCACGACCGTCAAGGTCGCTCGAGCAGCATGGCATTAGTATTCAAGGCCACCGGAAGGAATTCTGGCCGACCTCAGGCATCCTCTTCCCCGTCTGCCAGCGCGAAGAAAGGCCGTTCCCCGCACGGCACCCCCGAGCAATCCCCTGGCGGTGAAGCGCCTGAGTCTGCCCAGGCGACGAGTCATCTCCGTTCCGCCGGCGCCACCGCCACGCCCGCGTTCTCCCCTCACATGAAGCGCACTCCGTCCTCGCTGTCGGGCTCGCCGTTAGCGCCAAAGTATGGCGGCGGAGCGTCGCCTACTTTGCCGGCCGCCGCTGGAAGGGCCGGCAATCCGTCAAGCGCAGCAGCACGGCGTGGAGGAGCTGCAGCTGGAGGCGGCGATGGCGGCGTCCGCGGCTCCCCATCGCCGTTCTCGCTGCGTCGACCCGCTCTGAGTGCAAGCGGTAGCGCGGGAGGTAGCGCAGGACGAGATGCTGGTGTTTCCTCCGGTGCTGCTGCTGCTGCTGCTGCTGCTGGTGGTGGCTCCGAGAGGGACGGAAGTGGGACGACGGACAGCAGTGTGGGGAGTGGGATACTTACCGCTGCTGATCTCTTGGCATATCGCGCTGCATCAGTCTCAACGCGCAAAGGATCGCTGCATGGCGGTCAGAGTCGCTCCGCGCACCGCCAGCGCCACGACGACCAAAGTGCGCACGAGCACGGGCCTCGACACCGCCAGAAGAAATCCCTGGATGACCGTGAATCGCTTTCATTCCGTCACGGTTTCCGTCATGCCGCGGGGCTAGACGGGAGCCCCAGCAGCAATCGCGTGGCGCAGCCTTCAAAAGGGGCAGCAGCCGCTAAGTCGGCCCACAGGCCCGCTGCCGTGGCGGCGGCGACGGATGCCGCGTCGAGTGCTGGGTCGGTGGCTTCTGACTCGTCCGACGTCAGCACCCCAGCCTCTGAGTCAGCCTCGGCCAGTCGTCGCGGCGGCCATGCGAGCCCGCGTGCGAAGCCGATGGTCGCTCGTCAGAAGTCGTCGCAGTCGCCATGGAGGTCGCCGTCCGCGTCGTTCCCCTCTCCCCCTGCTGCACCCGCTGCCGCCTCGTCCGCAGGCGCAAAGTCAAGAGGCGAGGTGGGCGCGTCGCCGTTGTCAGCAAGAGCGCCGCAACAAGAGGCAGCCCGCGCCATGATGCTGCGCCGATCACGGAGCTTCTCCACGTTCTCGCGAGCCCCTAGCGCTGCGCCTGCTGCGACTGGTGCGATTGCTGGAGCTAGTTCCGCGGCCGGCAGCAACAGTGACGCGCATTCCGCATGCAACAGCGCTGCTTCTGCGTGCGCCTCTGGCGATAAACGGAGCGAGAGGGATGGCGGGGGAGGAAGCACGAGCACGAGGAACAAGCTTCTTCGAAGCCAGAGCGCCGAGGGCAGCTGCGACGTGCGCGGCGGGAGTGCGGCGCTGTATGGTCGGGCGGGAGCCGCGAGCAGCAAGAGCAGCAGAGTCAAGGGAGCCCGTTCGCGTTACGGTCATCCTCAACACGCGCAACAGCACCATCTCGACGCGCCGTCGTCGGCTGGCAGTGCAGCCTCTGCGCGGCGAGATGGAGCGGTTTGGAGCGTGGTGGACCCGCAGTCGGGGCTGGACGCGGATTGGGGCTCGCTGGGAGGGTTTGCGGCCACGGGTGATGCTCCCCGCACCGATTCTCGGGCTGCTGCTTCTGCTCGCACAGCTCGTACCGCTCGTGTGGGTTCTGGTGCGAGTGAGCGCAGCGGCTCCACGCCTACTGGAAGCCGCCCCGCGCTTTCGAGGTCGCGATCGGGATTGAGTACGGGGGTGTTTCGCCGACTGTCGTTCTCGTGCGAGGGCGACGAGGCGACTGGCGAGAAGTGCGGGCTGGTCGCCGAGAGACACAGTGAGGAGGAGCAGGAGGGGGAAGGAGGGGAGGGGCAGGGTACGGGAAGAGTCATCGCGAGGACGACTGCACTTGCTGCTTCGGATTATGATGGGCTTTACGGGACGGGAAGGGTGAGTGAAAACGCCGCGTTTGTACGCGGCCAAGGTGCAGCACCACGCACAGCGCGCTGATGACTCGCGCACATACCACCTTTCTGTGTTCCTAGCCCCGTCTGGCTCTTACCGTGAAGTCTCGTCCCGCTTTCCTTGGCGTGCTTGCGTTGTGCGAGTGCGGGGATCGCGGCTGACGGCTTGTGTTTGTGCTGTGCTGTGATGTGATGCAGGTGGCGCGAGGCGGCATGGCGTCGCGTGGGCTGGACTGCCAGTGGTGGGACAAGATCCGAGACGAGGTGAGGCGGGATAGTGAGGTGAGCGGGTCTACTATCTATCTTATTGTTAATGAAAGCCAAGAGCATTGGGATAATCGAATCCCATTGGGATAATGAAAGCCAAGAGCATTGTAGGGAACCTGCCGCGTCTAATTGTTAAACTACTGCGTATCGATTCGTCGTGTCCATGCAACCTGTGTGTTGCCGTGCAGCTCGACGCACTGCGCGCGTTGGTGGAGGAATCCGCGAGCACTGCGGCCCGCTCGCACCCTGCTGCCACCACTGCTGCCGCTCCTCCACAAGCATCGCCTAGGCAGGGTCGCCAGTCCCTGCGCCTACGTCGAGGCATGTTGGTAGTACCAAGCACGAAGGAGGGGGGCGGGCAAGCACCAGCACTGCTTGCTGCTGATGCTGGCGGTGGTGCGGCGCTTGAGTGGCTGGGGCGTGCGAGGCGCGAACTGGAGAGCATGGTTGGAGGGCGAGGTGGGAGACGTGGCGTGGACTGTGGTGATGGGGAACATGCGCAGGTGTGTATACGCATTCAACTTCAAATCATTTAACCAATGGAACTTACGTATGTATTATCCTGTTTTTTCACGAATAACAATTTTGAAACATGAGTTTAGGCCCAAGCTCATCTTTCCTTCCTTGTATAATTGATAGCAGCGTGATGGAACGCTACAAGGATTGAAGTCGCAGGAGCGTTGCGTCGCCAGCAGCAGTGATACGTCAGACGACTCCTCTTCCACCAGTGCCAACAGCTCATTTGGTGGAACCACCGACACTGCAGTGACGGATAATGACGCTAACACCCTTGGTGAAGCAGGGGAGCTCGGCGAATGTTCAGAGGCCGACATTTTTAGTCTCCTTGCGACACAGTCGAATCAGGTATTCACAAAGATATTGCTGCCATAGAACAAACAAATTGCAGCAAGAGGTGCGGGTTGGATGGTGGACGTGTGAATGTGGATAAATGAGCTGTGTTTGACTCACCTAGCATGCTACATCATGTGCACATGCCAACCTCAACGTGATTCAATGAAGGGCTGAAGGACTATGGTTGGAGGAGGTAGGGTGGGAGAGAAGGAGGGATACAGCGTAGGGTCACAACAAGAGGGGTTTAAGGTTTGAGGGGGGGTGGGGGGGGGGGGCGGGTGTCTGCAATGACGTGGTATGAGGCATTTCGAAACACCAGAGCATTGCTGATTGGATTTGCAGCACTCACTTCTGTGCACATCTTCCTGCCATGTTTTCCCCAAATCTGTGCTGGTCTCTGTCAACTTTTTAGCCTGTTGACGCCAATATTACCACACTGTGGCTCTGCAGAATCTGCCACGTCTGATTCCATCACTCTTTATTTTTCTAATGCTTATCTTGTGACCCCTCCTTTTCCCTGTATCGCCCTTCCTTCGTTTGCCCTTCCCTGTATCGCCCCTCATTCTATCGACCCGTCTATCACTCGTCATTCTACCACCGCCCATTTCAGTTCATCCGTCTGCCGGCCTTCTCCTGGGACGCCCTTGCTGAAGGGCCCTCTGGTGTGGTCCTGGGGAGACGCGCCATTCGCATGCAGCAGCAGCACAGCCACACACACACGAATTGTCAACATCTCTTGCCAGAACAACCTGGGTGGCAGCATCAAGATGAGCAGCAGCAGCAGTGGCGCCAGCAGAATAGGGGAATCACTATCCCGGAAAGGCGAGGAGTGGGTCACTGTGTGCTTGGAGGTCCGTTTCTTGTGGAGACAGATCTGGGTGAGGAGAGGCAGGCTGGCATTGAATTCGCGAGTTCCTGCAGCAGCAGTGCCAGCAGCAGCAGCAGCAGCAGCAGCAGCAGCAGCAGCAGCAGCAGCAGTGGCAGAAGCGAGGCGGGTAATGATGGCCCTTGGCACTTGAGCGTTCCTGAGGACTCTCCACATAAGTCGTCTGCACACGGCCCAGCAGAGACCGCAACAGGGGCGGCAGCAGGCGAGACAAAGGAAGGAGCGGTGGAAGCATCAGAAGGTGCGGCACGCGGCAGTGAGTCAGTGGACGTCGCCAGCTTACAGCAGGCCACACTCTCTGTGAGGAGCATTTCAGCACACACCGCTCCACACGCCCACGCACACCTCCCTGCGCCTGCGCCTCCTGCTCTGCCTACCCCAGGGGTGCTGCCATCGGCAGGGGGATGGCTGGGCCGACCCAGAGGGAAGCCAAGCGGCGCTGGCTTGATTGGTGCGAGGGCAGCGGGAGGAGGAGGGAAAAGAGCCGGGGAGGTGGTTCTTTTAGGGAGGGGGAAAGAGGAGCACTTGCAGAACCATATGGTGGTGAGTGATTTGCTCATTCGACGTTTCGCCCTTGGACTCTCAACGTTCCTCGTCCTTGCTGCTTGTAGGGATTATCCAATCATGGTTGGGGTTTCATTTATGTTGCGTGCTCTATCCTCACCACCTACTCTCCTCCCACATTCCCTCTCCTTCTCTGTATCTCCCATGTCCCGTCGCTTCGCTGCTACGAACAATGAGCAGCGGTTCTGGGCGCGGGAGAGGGGGTACCTACACATGCTGGGCCTGCCATCCTCGCACCAAGGCGCTGCCATGGGGCATGCACAAGGCGTCAGTTTCACCAATGAGCCTGACGAAGGCGTGGACGAGAGGCAAGCTGATGGCTCTTTTGAGACTCAATGCTTGGGATTGAGCACTCACGGCCGTTCTGCGCCTCTGACCTGTGCTGTGGCGGGTGCGGGTGCTGCTTCTGATGTCGCTTCGCATGCTAGCCGCCCATGCCAGGGTGCTTCCATTCCCACTCCCATGAGTGCATCTCAGCGCTCCGGCTTATCCTCTACCACCGTCCTCCCTCCTGCACCTCCTCCTCCGCGTCCCCCGAACTATCTTCAACTTCAGCAGCAGCATCGCATGCCCTCTCGTGCCACCTCACGCCCTCCTGGCCTCTGCCCGTCTGCTGGGACCTCCCTGCTGCACCCAGCACTGCGCCACTCCAGGCTGGCAGGTGCTAGCCGTGTGCAGGGAGAGACTGCTGCTGCTGATGCTGCTGTGGGGAAGAATGCTGCTGATGGTTTTCCTTCAACAGCAAGAGCAGCAGCAGGCGAAATCCCTGCCCTGCACACCACGGTGGCAACACAGGGGGATTGTGAGCATGTGGGGAAGAGGAGGGACGATGGGAGAGAAAATGGGAGGGGCATGGAGAGATTGTGGGGGCAAGAAAGGGAGTGGGACAGGGTGAGCGATATGCGGGACCTGAAGCTGTATGCTCCTCGTTTTAACCCCCTCTTTGAACCCAATGGAAACTCATGGGAGGGTGGCGAGAGCAGAAGTGAGCGCAGCACAAGAGATGGTGTCAGGGATGTGGGGGTATGGCCAGAGCAGCAACAGGGGCGAGAGCAGGCACAGTGGCAGGATCGAGCACAGCAGGGGCAGGGGCAGGGGCAGGGGCAGGGGCAGGGGCAGGGGCAGGGGCAGGGGCAGGGGCAGGAGCAGGGGCAGGGGCAGGGGCAGGGGCAGGGGCAGGGGCAGGAGCAGGGGCAGGGGCAGGGGCAGGGGCGTAGGCGTTCAAGCAGAGGGATTGGAGCTCTTGGGAGGAAGAGGCAGAGGGGGAGCGCAGGTCCGTGGAAAGGAAGCAGCACTGGCGGTGGGTGCCCAGATGACAGTGCGTTTGGGGTTGCTAACTTGGGTTTGGTTGAAGGTGATGGTTGGGACATGGGCAGCAGCAATAGAAGCAGCAGCAGCAGCAGCTCTTGCAGCAGCAGGAGAAGAGACGCCAGTAGCAGCATGGGTGGTGGTGCATGTGCGAGGAGTGGTGCGTGGAGGGCAGTGTGCAGGGGGCGACGAAGTGTTGTGGTGCGCAGGTTGATGCGGAGGCACAAGAAGACAAGGGGCGTACTGGTAAAGAGGGGAGGTGACGCTGTGGAGGGTACAAAGGCCGAGGCCGGGCGTGCACAGGTGCATGATTGTGGAGTTGCTGTGAGCAGCTCGTGTGCTGATGGTGATGCTGCTCATACTTGTATTGTGGTGGACACACAGGAGGGTGGGTTGGTGGAGGACACGGGGAGCGAGGAAGAGAGTGTGGATGCAGAGCGCAGTGCAGGGGAGGGCACGAGGCAGGAGGGCGGGGAAGGCGAGGTGCAGTTGGCAGCAGGTGACGGCAGTGGTGGCAGTGCAGGTGTGGGTGATGGCGCTGTGGAGGACGTGCCCTGGCAGCAGCAGCAGGTGCAGGGGCAGCTTGGGGGTGAGGTGGAGGCGGCCCTTGCAGCGCGGGGCAGTGCGGTGGAAGGCATGCACGGCGGTGATGGCAGCAGCGAGGGACGCGGTGAGGAAGAGGCGCTGGGGTTGACGAGCAGGGGGAGTGAGGTGGTGCTGTTGGGGAGTGGAGAGGGAGGGGATGGTTGGGGTGGTGGAGGGAGCAGGGGGGACGGCGACATGTGGGGGGATACGATGCTTGGTAGCAGGGTGCAGCGAGGGATGGGTCATGGCAGTGGTGGTGGGAGCGGTGGGAGTTTCATGGGTGGATACGAGGCCAGTGGAATCGTGGTACGCCCCTCCCCTTAGCTGCACTCCTGCCGCTCTGCTCTGTGGGACCTCATGCTACGTCCAATAATGACCTCCTAGCCATGACATGAGCTGCTACTTGTGATCAGCTACTCTGAATGCTTCAATCCTCCTTATTTACATCCTCTCGTGCTCCTATCAGTTCTTCTTCCTGCCCATTCCCTATTCTTCCCTCCCTATTTTGACTTCGTCCTTTCCAACCAACCTTCCCTCTCCCCCGTTCCTCCTCCAACTGCTGCACCTCAAGCTGCTGGCGCATGTGCGGGTGCCCTTGTCCGCGCTGCACGTGGTGCTGCTAGTGGCGCGCCCGTCCCTCCTGGCGCGCTGCCTCACTGCCCTCGCAGGGATCATCTGGGGGCCACGACCCTGGCGCTTGGGGGCACGCGAGGATGGCGGGCGAGGGGAGAGCGGAAGGGGGGTTGGGAGGGGGAGGGCGGATGGACATGGTGGCAGCATGGAGGGGGAGGAAGGGGGGCGCAGGGGTCAACTGCTCCTGTCAAACGGTATGAATTAACCCCTATTTTCCCCCCTTGCCTAGTTTCCAGTCTGCGCCTTCATCCCTCTTTCACACCTCGTCCTCAGGGTTCGTTCCTCCTCCCAATGGGTGGCAGGACCTGTTTTACATGGGGCACAGCGAAGCTCACACTGAGCCCCAAAAGAAACATTGCTCTCGACATTCCTTGATACCTGCTCTACACCCATCTCCCTTCCTTCTGTTCCCAGGTCCAAGCACGGCACCAGGCGCACAGGCGACTGAACAAGCGAAGGGGCGGATTGAGGGAGACGATGAGGGTGAGAGGGAGGGAGAGGCAGGGGGACACAGAAACGTGCAAGAGCAGGTGCCTCTTGCAGCAACTCCTCCTCCCATCACACCCGTTGCTTCCTCACCCATGCCATGCCTCCCTGCACCTGCTGCCACCACACTCACACACCAACCCTGCATAACTCTCGGTCCCCTTGCTGAAAATCCCGCATTGGCTGTGGGTGACCCTCTCATGGCTGTTGCACGCAACCCACCGTCTCCACCACTTGTTATCCCAACACCACCATCTTCATTCGCGCCGTTGGCAGCAGAAGCTGCAGCAGCACCAGCTACATCAGCACCTCGTCCATTGCAACACCACCCTGAGATCGAACCAGTGAACGAGGAGGAGCAGCAGCAGCACGAGCAGCAGCCACACCGGATACATCTCCAGCGTTTCCCTCCAGGCGCCCCCTCTCTTCCATCGCACGCATGCCATCCTCTCCCCCACCTGCCCATCGTGCTGCCGGCATCAGCATGTGCGCCGCACGTGGGTCTGGCACAGCACCTGAGCGTGGTGGCGTGGGAGCGCGTGCTGGCGGCCGTGGCGGAGGGCAGGCGTGTGGACGCCGCTCTCTGGATGACCTGCCAGGCGCTCCTTGCTGCCACCCTCGCTGCTGGCTCCGTGCTGGGCAGGTGCGGGTGAAGCAAGGCGAGAGTGAAGGGGGAGGGGGGGGGAGAGTGGGGAATGGGAAGGCGCATGTGTGCAGGGCAGGTGGGAGGGGAAGCTGCTGGTGGACGCACAGAGAGTAGAGGAGTGTGGATGTGCCATGCTGGTCCGTTCCATGATCTCTTCTTTGTTGGGGGCCATTAAAACTCATTTCCATTCCCCTACTATTCCGTTACCTCTCTCCCTCGCCCTCCTCTCTTGTTAATTCCTGCTCTTCCCTCCCCACCAGGTTCTTCCCATCCCAGTGGTAGCGCTCCAAGCTGTTGACGGAGAAGCACATGGGGAGCACGTGGGGAACACGTGGGGAGCACCTGGGGACCACGTGGGGACCATGCGGGGGAGCAATGGGGAGATTTGATTGATTGCAACCAGCAACGATGGATGGTGCAGGGAAGCATTTGGAATGCCAACTACATATGGGCTGACGTTGCCATTGTATGGCTTGGCGTCTACTATGCTGCTGCTTGTACACTGCTTGCTGGATCTCTTTGTTCTAGACATGTCTTCTGCATATTCGACCTGCACTTGTACGGATTCGATGAACATATTGGGCGTTGCCTAAAAAAAAAAAAAAAAAAAAAAAAAAAAACAACACTCACACACACGCACACACGCACACACGCACGCACACACACGCACGCACGCGCGCACGCACGCACGCACGCGCACACACACACACAACAGAGATGGGAGGAACCAGAAATATCATCAGCAATATGGCGATGCGTCGTATAGCTGGACATAGTCGTGCTCGTGCTTGTACGCCTGACGATGAAGGAGAATCTATCGGCGAACCTATACAAGCAGAAGAGTATACTAATCCCTTCACTGACGAGCACGAATACAACGATAACGATGAGCAAGACTGGAACTTGCCTATCCAGCTATGCGAAAGCCCTCCGCACTACTACGACCCACGACCAGTACCCATGGACTGGAACGACCGACACAAGTTTCTCAATTTCGATACCGCTGACCATCGTCACGCCGCGACTCGCCCTGCTCCTACGCGGCAACAACGACGATTACAACAATTGGTATCTGGACACCTGCTGCGGGTAGCACATGGTGGGATCAAGGCGCTACATCTCCAACACCACCTCCACCCCCATAGTCACTTGTGGCGAACAACAACCATCTACGAGCAAGCGCGCAAGGCATGGTCGTGTTGAAAGCACGAGACAGCAAGATGCACATCACCTTCAATGATGTGCTCATCGTGCCTGATGTGCGTTTAAATCTACTGTCCGTGGGACAACTTTCCGATTGCGGAGTCATCTTCAGTACCGACCCTGCCATACAAGACATCGAACTTCACTTCGATCCCCCCGACACACCGCGCAAGTACATCGGCCGAGCACGTTCGATCAATGGAGTCTACGTCCCCGACTTCGACCTACCCGACTGCAGCGGTTCCTCCGACAAGCTCATCGACCTCGTACCGCTGGAATTCGAGTACATGTCGGAAAACTCCTGGGAACATCCAGAAGGCCGACCCTGGATCAAGCGCAATCTTCACCCCCGTGAGACGGACCTACACAATCCAGGTCCTAACGGGCTCTGCACCAGCTGCTTCACACCTACCGCCTCCTGCACCAATGTCGCTGGAAGACGACTGGACGCCATCGAAGAAGCCGAGAGCCTCGCGCCGCCCGAAGAAGGCATGTCTGAAATGGAACTTGCCACCGTATCCTATCGAGTAGTCAGCTCTCCGCAATACGAACTTGGTGTACCACAGCAGCCGCGGCCCGGACCTGTAGCCAATTGTCTTTGCTATATTCTAGAAGGAGAATCAAAGGGGACTTACGATGAAAAGGGGCAGGCGCGTCCCTACACCAGGGACGTCCATCGCCCCGAACACAAAGACTGGAAAGACCCGAACAAGCTGGAGGAACTCAACATCAAAGAAGAAGAAGAAGAAGAAGAAGAAGAAGAAGAAGAAGAAGAAGAAGAAGAAGAAGAAGAAGAAGAAGAAGAAGAAGAAGAAGAAGAAGAAGAAGAAGAAGAAGAAGAAGAAGAAGAAGAAGAAGAAGAAGAAGAAGAAGAAGAAGAAGAAGAAGAAGAAGAAGAGCAGGCCCGACGGGAAGAGAAGGAACGCCTAAGGCAAGAGAGAATCACACTAGGCTAGGACCCTGAAGCAGCATCCAACGAAGCAACTAGATGGGGCGGAAGCAACACGACAAACACAGGCGGAACATGGTAAACCGCAACAGGAGGATGGGACACTGGTACCGGCGGCAGCTAGGTCACTTGCGGTGGCTGGGGCACTAGCCAAACCACCGAAGGACTCATTGACTCTCCTATCCGAGAAGAATTGTGGGGGGAAGAGGAAGAGGAAGAACCACCTCCAACTGCAGTTACCCTCGGGCGACCATGACTTTCCTATCGCCTCCTCGTTCAAATCTCGTGGGCCGAGTCCATCACACCTTTATCGACTGGGGTAATGAGCCGTCAACCTCGCGACACGATGCGCTCGGACCTCTTCCTCCTCGAGCCGACCCACTCGGAGGATTCATTGAAGGCACTACCACACCACTCCTTGTCATCCTCGATCGCAGCTTCCTGGCGCTCGCTCTTGTCAAACTATAATTGTTATAGGATGTTAGTTTAGTCTAGGTGTTACATGTCAGAATATTATGCTCTAGCCTGTAGTGGGGTGCTCTATAGCGAGTACAACCCTTCTAGGGTTTGCTATTTGTATCCTCATTCTTGCTAGTGCAACCCCTTCCCCTTTTGCCTAAACTGTTTCTTGCCTAGCTAGGGCTTTCCTAGCTATGGCGCCTTCTTCTACTGCTTATTTTCACATGGTATTAGAGCGATATGCTCCTGGCCTGTGGGCCCCACCTCACTGCTTCCGCTGCTACTGCTACTCCCTGTCCGCCGCGCGCCCCGTGGTGCGCGGCGTCGAAATTAGGGTTTTTCAGCCCGCCGTGCGCCCCGAGGCGCGCGGCAGTTTTCTGCCCGCCGTGCGCCCCGAGGCGCGCGGCGGTTTTCTGCCCGCCGTGCGCCCCGAGGCGCGCGACGGGTTTCTGCCCCGTCACTCGGCGCGTCGCCCCCAGGAGGCGCTACGACGGGCGACGGGGACCCGCGCGTCGCCCCCCGTCGCCCGTCGTGGCCTGCGCGCGGCCCGTACAGCCGGCGCGCGGCCCGTACGGGCTGCGCCAGGCCCGCGCGCGGCCCGTACGGGCTGCGCCAGGCCCGCGCGCGGCCCGTACGGGCTGCGCCAGGCCCGCGCGCGGCCCGTACGGGCTGCGCCAGGCCCGCGCGCGGCCCGTACGGGCTGCGCCAGGCCCGCGCGCGGCTCGGGCCGCCTGCGCGCGGTTCGGGAGGCTGTGCCAGGCCCGTGGGCGGCCCGTTCTTCGCTGCCCCTGTCCTCCCCGCTGTCCCCCGTGCTTCTGAAGGCGCCCCACCCCTCCTTCTGCCTGTTCTCCTGGATTAGGGTTTGGGGGTGGGGGGTATGGGGGTGCAGCTTCTGTGTGCCGTTCCTTGCTCCTCCTCCTCCTCTGTCTCCCTGTGCTGCAGCTGCCGCTGAAGGGGGGTGGACCTGTTGGAGCCGTCGGAGTGGTACTAAGGGGGGGTGAAGGGGGAGTGGAGCTAGGGGTGAAGCAGGGGGTGTGTGTCAGGGGGGGTGGTACTGTTTGGGGGAGGTTGAACGGAGGTTGCCGTCGTGTCGCCAGCAGCACCTGTAGTCCGGGGAGTTGCTCCGGTAGCCCAGTCGTAGCCACCTGTGCCAGTCGCCCGTGGGTCCGTTGCTCGTCTGCCGCTACTTTTAGCCGCGGGGCCAGTTACTCCAGTAGTCCGGAGCGCTGTTCCGGTAGCCGCTGTGCCAGTGTGCCTCCTGTTGCCCGTGTGTCTGCAGCTTCAGCCGTCGCCTCCTATCTCCTCTCCTCTCATTGTCCCTCCTCCTCCTCACTTGCCCGTTGTGACTACCACTAGCTTTGCTCATAATTGTGAACTTTAAACTATTGCTTCCTGAACTTGTGCTCAGAATGTGTGGTGACATTGTGATCCACCCTGAGCTTGTTCTGCTTTGCTTGCTCTGCTGATTACACCCCACTTTGGCTATGGAGGTGTGTCAGAATATTATGCTCTAGCCTGTAGTGGGGTGCTCTATAGCGAGTACAACCCTTCTAGGGTTTGCTATTTGTATCCTCATTCTTGCTAGTGCAACCCCTTCCCCTTTTGCCTAAACTGTTTCTTGCCTAGCTAGGGCTTTCCTAGCTATGGCGCCTTCTTCTACTGCTTATTTTCACATTACACTGAGTTATGCTGTAGAGGGTATAACCCCCTTAGGGTTTGCTATATGCTCCCCTGTACTACTTGTTTCTACTCATTTCCTTATTCCGTTCACTCGTTCACATGGTATCAGAGCTAGTTTCATTCCTATGGGCCCACCACCGTCTGTCGCTCGTAGCTCGTAAGCGCCTCGTAGCCCGACGCTCCGATGCGCCCCCCAAGGCCCCCGCGGGCCCCTCGTTCGTCCCGTAGCGCGGCCCCTCACGACCCTTCGTTCGTCCTGTAGTGCGGCCCTCCGCGGGCCCTTCGTCCGTCCGTAGCGCGCCCCCCCCCGTGGGCCTCCCGTTCGTCCCTTAGCGCGGCCCCCGCAGGCCCTTCGTCCGTCCGTAGAGGAGCCCCCCCACGTGGGCCTCCCGTTCATCCCTTAGCGCGGACCCCGCGGGCCCTTCGTCCGTCCGTAGCGCGCCCCCCCCCGTGGGCCTCCCGTTCCTCCCGTAGCGCAGCCCCCGCGAGCCCTTCGTCCGTACGTAGCGCGCCAACCCCCCGTGGGCCTCCTGTCCGTCCCTTAGCGCAGGACCCGCGAGCCCTTCGTCCGTCCGTAGCGCGCCCCCCCCCCCTCCCCCCCCCCCTTGGGCCTCCCGTTCGTCCCTTAGAGCGGGCCCCCCGTGGGCGCTCTCGTCCGTCCCGTAGCGCGGCCCCGCTGGCCCTTGTTCGTCCCGTAGCGCGGCCCCCCGCGGGCTTTTCGTCCGTCCGTAGCACGCCCCCCCCCCCCCCCCCCTCCCTCCTCCCCCCCCCCGCATGCAATTTCGTCGCAACCTAGGTCGCGCCTCGCCCGTCGCCCGTCGCACGTTGCGCGTCGCACGTCGCCCGTCGCCCGTCGCCTTAGTGCCCGCGCCTGAAACCCTAGCCCGTCGATCGTTCCACCCCCCCCCCCCCCCCCCCCCCTCGTTTATTTTCTCGCGCGCGACTGTAGATCGCAGGCCCCGCGGCCCACACGTTAGCAGGCCCCGTGGCCTGTCCGTAACAGCTGCCCCGTCCGTAAACAACCGCACTCAACCGCTCTAGAACCGCCTCTCAACCTCAGTAGACCACTCCCAGCTGAGAGACACCACCCTTCACCGC